ATAAAATCTTTTTTTAAAAAAAGAGTACACTTATCATGATGAGCACTCAGTAATGTACAGAATTGCTGAATCATTATATTGTATATCTGAAACTAATATAACACTATGTTAACTATACTGGAATTAAAATAATACAGACATACATACTGTGTACATTACCTACAGAATGCTTTTGAAAAACTGAAAGGTCATACTTTCCAGTATCAAAAGGAGTATATATGGATTCTAAAGAAATGAAGAAGATAAAATCAATCACTCAAAAGGGAAAAAGAAATTTAAAAAATAAGGAAACATTAAAGATAGAATAAAAAGGAATGCCTGGGTGGCATAGTTGGTTAAGCATCTGACTCTGGGTTTTGGCTTAGCTTGTGATCTCAGGATTGTGAAACTAAAGACCCACATTGGGCTTCGCACTCAGCACAGTCCATTTGAGATTCTCTCTACCCTTCCTCCTTGTGCTCTCTCTCTCAAATAAATAAATCTTTTAAAATAGCATAAAAATATGACATGAATAATAAAAATGTATTAGTTATCATGATAAATACATTGGAATCTACTCCCCTATTAAAAATTAAGATTCAAAAAGAAAAAAATTAAGATTCACAGGGGCACCTGGCTAGCTCAGTTGGTAGAGCAAGGGGTGTAAAGATTACTCAAAACTAAAATCTTAAAAAATAAAAAGATAAAAATAAACTAAAATTAGGATTCACAAATTGGACTAAGAATTCCATTTTATGTTATTTAGATGAAACACAAAATGAAACAAAAAGATTAATGTAAAGGAAGGAGAATATATAAAATAAATGCAAATGAAGAGAAATCAAAGATAAAAATACTTACATTAGTAAAATTTGACATTTAAAAAATGACATTGGAATTTATAAAGCCAAAATATGAGGAAGGATAGAGTATCACTAATATGATTAATAAGTCTTATTTAATAGCTTCCTGCAAAGAAACATGTATTGAATACTAGATAATATACTGGTTTTTTTTTCCCTAGTATCATGTAGCATTTACAAAAACCGAGTATATATAGCTGTACGAATAGTGGCATGTAAGTAGGTTTAAATGCTAAAGAAGACTTACAGAACCCAAATGACATGGCTTACAAATATACAGTTTATTATAGGGAAAGGACATGCTATATCAACAGCACAAAAGTCGGAATATACATCACAGCATATGATTCACAGCAGGGGTCTGGAGAGGCCAAGTGTAGGCTCTTATTGTCCTCTTCTAGTCCTAGAAGATAGATGTTCTGCACTCATCCTATATCTTCCTTGCCCCAACCCTAGAATCAGCCATTTCTTTAAGGAACCCTGGTTCCATTTATTGGAGAATAATATTTAGCAACAAAGACCTGGGTGCTAGGTGTACTCATTGCTACTGGGGTATCACTGCTTCTAGACCATTTCAGAAGCCAGAGCCAGAAAATATATGTAAGTATGCTACCTTATGTATATGTACATATCTATATTTCTGTATATATCTACCAACTAGAGTACACTTATGTATAGTTCTTTTTATTGTTAGTCTTATATTATCTTATCAAAATACCATTTTCTTATTTTAAATTGAGGTATAATTGACATACAACATTATATTAGTTATAGGTGTACAACATAATGATTCAATATTTGTATATCCTGCAAAATGATCACCACAATAAGTCCAGTTAATATCTGCCACCATACTCACATTTCTTGTGATGAGAACTTTAGACTTCCTCTCTTAGCAACATTCAAATATGCAATATAGTACTATTAACTGTAGTCACCATGCTGTACATTACATCATCATGACTTATTTATTTTATAACTGGAAGTTTGCATCTTTTGACTCCCTTCACCCATTTTTCCTACACCTCACCCCCTCCTCTGGCAACCACCAATGTAATCTCTGTGTCCATAAACTTAAAAAAAAACAAAAGTTTTTCACAGTTATTTAACACTCCGCCCTACCCTCTTCAGTGAAGTAATGCCATACAATTTTAATACAATTAGGTTCTTTTGTCACATGCTGCACTCCATCCCAAGATCATGGACAATCATATTAATTTTTAAAACTTTGCAAACAGTAAAGTTCATTCTTGGTGGCGTGACATTCTGTGGGTTTTTGGCAACTGTGGAGTCATACATATCTACACCACTCTTGTACAGCCCATTGTATATTTCAACCTTCCTTCTCCCACAATCCCTGGTAATTACTGCTCTACTTTCCGTCTTATGGTAGACCAAATAATGACCTGAAAAAATATCCAAGTTCTAATCCCTCCAACCTGTGAATATTACATCACATGGCAAAAGGGACTTTGCAGATGTGATTAAGAATTTTGTGATGGGGAGATCATCTTGGGTTATCCAGGTGAGTCCTAAATAATCACAGAGGTCCTTAAAAGAGAGAGCAAGACAAAGGAGGTAGTAGGAGACATGAAGATGGAAGCACGAGGTTGGAGTGTTGTGAGGCAGGAGTCACAAGCTAAGTAATACAGGCAGCCTCTAGAACCCAGAAAAGTCATGGAAATGAATCCTCCCTTAGAGCCTCCAATAGGAACCAGTCCTACAATACCTTGACTTTAGTCTAATGAAACTGATTTTTTACTTCTGGCCTCCAGAACTCTAAGAGAATAAATTGGTGCTGTTGTAAGGCACCAAGTTTGTGGTAATTTTTTACAGCAGCAATAGGAAACTAATACATCTCCCTATAGTTTTGCCTTTTCCACAGTGTCTTAAGAATGGCACTATACAATACTTCTGGGTCTTAGAATCTGGCTTCCTTCACTTGGCAAAATACATTTACAATTCATCCATGTTTATGTTATATATATTTTACCACTAAGAAAGAAGATTCATTTGTGTTGAGTGAATCAGTAGATCTTTCCTTCTTATCACTGACTAGTACTCCACTGTACACTTGTGCCAGTTTGTTATCCATTCACCTGTTGAAGGACTTTAGATAGTTTCTGATGAATAAAGCTGCTATAAACATTTGCATACAAGTTTTTGTGTGCACATAAATTTTCCATTAACTTGGCTATTAAAGAAAGCTCATAGGTATTCATAGCTTTTAGGACATGGGGATGGCAATTTAAATATCATTACCAGGGAAACACATTATTCGGTAATACAAACAAAAAGAATTACAGGCTTTTTAAGGCCAAAGTTACGTTCACAGAACAAGCCAGAAGTTTTGAGTTCCAGATGTCTTACAAGACCCCTTTGTTAGTAATAATATTTCCAAGGACATATTAAGAAACCAGAAAATCGTCTTATTCTGTTGCTGGGATTTCTTACACTAGTAGTTAGGACAGCCTGTGGTTTTCCAGACCAAATGCTGAAATTCCATTATTTAGAACTGAAAGAAATAAAGACAGATCTAGGAAGATTAAAACTTACTATGGAAAGGAAAAGGGCAAAATAGAATTATAAACAATTGGAATATTAGCATGGAATGTTATCCATCCTACAGTGCAAACAGAAGAAACTGACAATATCTGAATTTCTGATTTATTATATTGGCAATCCATTTACCTCTAGTCCTTAGTACTGTTGCCATGTAACCTTTTAAAATAATTTCATGAAGTTATTAAAACTTACCTGTTTTTTCCAACAGATGTGCAGGGACACCTCTGGCAGTAGAGTTTTGCCTGAACAAAACAAAAAAATACGTCATTCAAACATAAAAGTGGCAAAATTTTTTCCCTAAGGGACCAAAACTACAGAGGAATAATTCTGAGTTATGCTCTTCAATACCAAATCAGGTACAAGTCACATACTATCCAAAAGGCTTATAAAACTAACTGCAAAGTGTATAATAAACATTTGTAGGGGTTTGAGATTTTTCTCCTACTTACAAGCTAACAAATTAGCCTGTTATCATTTCCTGAATGCCAGCAGCATGGTAAGCAGTATGAGCATCATCAGCATATATATGTGGGTTCCCCCCTCCCCAAGTCCCACAGCGGCCATGCAGAGGGGCCCAGTGGACACACTGTTTATATCTTGTAGTTTTGCATTGCTGCCGAGGAATATTGGCCTTAGGGAATTCACATCTTTTAGAGAAAACCTCCTATTTGTTCAGAAGGAGACATCACCTCAAGGCAGCTCCCTACGAAGAAAGCCCTGAGAAATGGCTCAGGTAAAGAGCGGTCTGGATCCTGTGTTCCAGGAATGTAAAACAAGAACACGCAGTGATGCTCTGGGCTGTGATGGATAGTATCTTCTAACAAAAGCGTGCCCAGAGAGATAACAGACTATCTGTCCTTCTGCGTGAAGTGGACAATAAGAGGTCTTGCTCAAAGTTTTGCTCCTAGGAATATTTTCCTTCACCACTGTCTTTCAGGGACTAGAATGGATCCATTTTTAAGCTGGTGCCAGCAAACTGTGTGTAAACCAGGCCTGTGGCCTGTGCTTTTTCTTGTCAACCAGTCATAGAGAACTCTCTGGGAAGTCATAAATGCGGGTTAAAGGGAGAAGTAAATCAGTAGAAGCAAGTACCATGGGAGCTTAAAACATAGCTTCATGCACTTTACTTGTGCCTTCTGAGCAGCTTGGATCCAATCATGTATATACAACGTTACCATTTTCTACTGGAATACTGTTGTCACATCCAATTTTATGTTTCCATGGAAACGACATTCACTTCCTGATGGTCATTTCAAGTGGCACACCTCATTCTCCTTTCACCTTCCAGGTTTCCTGCCCATGCTTTCCATTGAGTGAACCTAACCAGAAGCTGGAGGGCAAAGAAACCTATTGATACCACCTCCCATGGCACAGAGCAGGTAGAGAGGGTGGAGTGAATCTGGAAGGGCAAATGGAAGGTATCTAGCACAGCCCATAAATGGCATTGATGTCACTGGCATGATTTTCTAAAACATTAAGCCATTCTTGGGAAAGTTCCAAACAAAACAACACACACTCTTTTCAACTTACACAGTAGTTCCGTTCCTGGAAAATTCCAGGATATTAAAACCATGCAAAAAATACTTTGAGTTATGCTCACTTCAGCAGCAATATACTAAAATTGGAATTATACAGAAAAGATAAGCTTGGCCCCTGCACTAGAATGACATGCAAATTTGTAAAAGCATCTCATATTTTAAAAAATAAATTTTAGAAAGAGAAAAAGTACATTGAATTTACATGCAAAATAAGGTCAGGTTTAGGTTCAGATAATTACAAATAAGTTTCTCATACATATGAATGGCCAGGGGGATGTTTGAAAATCACATAAGAAAAAAAATAATAAAAAATTTTAAAAAAAGAAAGAAAATCACATAAGACGTAGGAAAATTCATCCTTGTAAGAAAGTCACATGCACTGAAGGACATATGACATTCTTGGCTTCTGCCCAACTAACTAATCCCGGCCAGGGGGTTCCTGTCAATCACTGCAACAACCTTACTAGCCACACAGGAGTTTTCAAAGCATACCCTTGGGTGGTACTGCCCCTAGTGATACCCACTCTTCTAAGGTGAAACATTCATCCTTGTAGAATTTGAGTTTGATATCTCATCCACTTAACTGGAGGCAACATTCAATGGAAGAAACCATTCAATTTATGGATTCTTCTCAATTTCTCAATTTAAGGATTCTTGTTCAATCCAACATACAAAAGTCTCTGACTCAATTACCAAACACTTGCTGCCATTTCTGGCAATGTATAATTGTGAATTTGAATTTTCTGATTTAGTATAAATACAAAGTAAGAAAATAACTGAACATGAAGCTCAAACTTCACATGGAGCCAGATAAAAGTTTATATATAACCACATTTCATGTAACTTGATATTAAACTATAACATTTTTCTACTTTTAACTAATATATTTTGGTTTTTAAAAAAGATTTTATTTATTCATTTGAGACAGAGAGGGGGTGGAGAGATAGTGAGTGAGAGCATAAGCAGGGGTGGAGAAGGAGAAGCAGGCTCCCTGCTGAGCAGGGAGCCCCAAATGGAGCTCAATCCCAGGACCCCAGGATCATGACCCGAGCCAAAGGCAGACACCCAATCGACTGAAAAGTATGGGGCCAACCAGGCGCCCCATACTTTTAACTAATATATTCTAAGTAATAACATCCACATTTTATAAAAATATAAAATACCTAAACAGAAATATAGAATCAAAACATTATATACTATGGCAGACAGAATAATGGCTCCCCTCAAATATGTCCATGACCTGATTTCTTGAAACTTTTGAATGTTACCTTACATGGCAAAAGGGATTTTGCAGATGTGACTAAGTCGAGGATCTTGAAATGGGGAGATTATCCTGGATTATCCAAGTGGGCCCAATGTAATCATGAGAGTACTTAGTAAAGGGGAGCGGGAGAGTCAGAAGACAGAGAAGGTGATGTGACAATAAGAGTATATATTGGAGTGATGCAACTAGAGCCAAGGAATGCAGGCAGCCTCAAGAAAATGGAAGACACAAGCAATGGATTCTCTCCTAGAACTTCCAAAAGGAACCAACCCTACAGACACCTTAATTTTAGCTCCATAAACTTCTCCATACTTCTGACCTCCAAAACTGTAAGAGAATAAATCCGTGTTGTTTTAGGGCACTAAATTTGTGGTAATTTGTTACAACAACAACAGGAAACTCATAAACATTTCTGCCCCTTCTCCCTGCTGAGAGATCCACCATTGTTAATACCTTGGTACCTGTACTTCCAGATCTTTTCCTATACCATTAAATGTGTGTATGTACGTGTGTGTGTACTTCTTACAAAAATGGATCACAGTTGGATCACATGCTATTTTGTAACTTGCTTTTTTAAGTCTACAAGCTCCATATGTCCATTTCATCAAATATCTAGACTACATTAAAAATTTCTCAAATGAAACAAAAATGCCCTTAACTCTTGTTTGGTCCATAACAGAATCTGTTTGAGGACCACACGTATCATCTGATTATTAGGTCCCTTTGGTTATGTTGTTGACTATTGAGGAGATGGTTTTACAGTTGCTCTGAAGAATGTGCCACCTTTTGGTTCATTTAGTTGCTACCTCTGGTGCTATTTAGTTTGTTCTTTTATTTCCTGTATTTGAAATGCTGTAACATTTTTACTAAAATTTTTGGCTAGAATTCTCTATAGGTTATGGGTATTCATGTTGAGTCACATCAGAAAACACATAATATATGGTTAATCCATTAAGGATGTTAAGACTGACCACTGGATTAAGGTGATGACTGCCTAATCCCTCCATTTTACAGTTATATTTTTGCCCTGAAACTAGAAAGTGACCATTGTTCCTTTGCATTTTAAAAATATCCATTTCCAGGATGCCTGGCTGGCTTGCTTGTAGAGCATGTGACTCTAGATGTCAGGGATGTGAGTTCAAGTCCTATGTTGGGTGTAGAGATTACTTAAAAATAAAATCTTTTTAAAAATCCAGTTCTTATTAACCATTTTAACACCTGTTGATATGGTGTTATGACCATTATAATTCATGGAAATTTCATTCAAGATTGTGATGTTTGGGGATCCCTGGGTGGCTCAGTGGTTTAGCGCCTGCCTTCAGCTCAGGGTGTGATCCTGGTGTCCCGGGATCGAGTCCCACATCGGGCTCCATGCATGGAGCCTGCTTCTCTCTCTGCCTATGTCTCTACCTCTCTCTGTGTGTGTCTCTTATGAATAAGTAAATAAAATATTTAAAAAAAGATTGTGATGTTTTTAAAAGTCTATCATCTCTTCTACATTTACTAATTAGTATTCACCTGTGAAGTAAAGCTTTCCCTCATTTCGGGGGGATATTTGGTTACATGAAATACAAATTCTACTGGAAAGGCAGGATAAAATGCTTTATTTTTTGCCATTAATTACCAACTTTCGTAGTAAGTAGTTGATTCAATAGCTTTCTCAAAAGGTGAATTTTCATAGATTCCATCTATTTGAATTCATTGCTACTGTTAGTCTTTATAATGCTCGAAATGTCATGACTATGGCCAGTGGAACATAAGCCCAGTGATCTTTAAGAACTTTACTGATTTCTAGCACAAAAAAATATCCCTGGCTTTTCTTGTATTTTCTCTGTTCCAGCCTTGGAATGAGCTATTTCTCCAAAATGTCCAGTTGTACTTTAGTGGGGAGTGGTTTTCAGAGACCACAACCTGAGCACTAGAGGTGTTCATTATTACTGGGGTGACACTGCTTTTAGGCCATTTCAATGGACAGAACTAGAAGAATATACATATTGAGGAAGACAGACTCTAGGGTGCCCCCTTGGTGTTCATGTTCCTGTGTGCTTCCCTCCTGAAAGTGGAAGGAATCGTGATTTGCTTCTAGTCAGCAGTGTCTGGCAAAGATGTCAGGATGCACGCAATTACATATATATAATTATATGTGTATGATTTATGATTAATGTCAGTCTTGGAAGGAGAATATCCCCCTTGCTAGCTTTAAAGAAGCCAGCTGCCAGGCTGTGAATCACTTAGGGAGAGAACCACTTGACAAAGAACTGAGGGCAGCCTCTAGCTAACATCCAACAACAAACTGAGACCCTCAGCCCAGAAGCCTGCAAGGAATGAAAAATTGCCAACAACCAAAGAACTTGGGAGCAGATGTGAGCACAATGTTGACTGACACCTTGATTGAAGCTCTGTGAGTCCCTAAAGCAGAGCATGCAGCTAAGTCATGCTCAGACTCCTAACCCACAGAAAGTGTGAAATAATAAATGTGTCCTGTGTTAAGCCTCTAACTTTGTGGTAATATGTAACAATAGATAAGTAACACTATTTAACCAAGGGCTTATATGAATTTTTTTAATTCAGTTTTAACATTACAGTGTTTTTCTTAATTTCTTGGATCCTATCCTAATATTCTTACAAATAGTGGGACTATTGGTTTTATCCCCTGGAGGACTGCATACCAAATGGTGAACAAAAAACTGAAAATGAGGGATCTCTTCTATTTTTCCATTTTTCCTCTCCTTGAAGGCAAACATTTATTCATTCATATTGTCTCATCTAAGTAAACTAAGTCTACGAAATCACTTTATAATAATTTTGGCCCTAAAATTCCTTTAAATTGTCATTATGAAGTATAATATTTCCTATTAATATAGTACTTCATGGTTTAAAACTAATTTTTTCATGTCAAAGTTTCTCTAATAAATTTTAGAACAGCATTCAATTAACAGAAGTTTAGGCAAAATTATCATACAAATTATTTGCTCTCCACCAACAATGTTTATTTCCCCAAACAAGGCACACTTATGCTTTAAAAATATTTTTTAAAAGAATACAGTTTCATTTTTCATATATTTTTTAAACATTTTATTTATTTATTTATTCATGAGAGACAGAGAGAGAGAGAGAGAGAGAGGCAGAGACACAGGCAGAGGGAGAAGCAGGCTCCATGCAGGGAGCCTGGCGTGGGACTCGATCCCGGGACTCCAGGATCAGGCCCTGGGCTGAAGCCACCAGGGCTGCCCCATTCTTCATATTTTCAAGAAACATATGAAACAGAAATTCAAAGTACAAGCTCTGGACAACCACTTATGCTAAACAAAGATGTCCCTAATTAAAACAATCACTTTCTTCTTTAAATATTTAGTAACAAATATTTAATTTTTAAAATTATACAAATAAATGTATACTTCTATTATTTATGATAAAAAGTTAAATATTTTCAAATGTCCACTAGAAGTAATATTATTAATACTTATAAAAGAAAAAATACTCAGATTCACTTTGAATACTTGTCTGTTACTTTCAGGTTTAGCACAAGATATTATAGAACAAATAATTCAGCCTGACAAAAAAACATTTCCCACAAGTACTACTTCCAGTAACAATTTCTCTACTGAATGAGACTTGATAATAAATATTATGAAATTTCTCACAACCACCCTGCACGTGAGTCAGTAAGTATTATTATAATGTATTATATAGAAGGTAGCAGGCTGGTTTTCAGAAGCTTGAGGAACAATGGGTAGGTTCTCTTGACCAAAAATATCATACCCACTAAGAAATTAAATTATTTAAATCAAAGACTTTTCTGGAACAGCTTCACAAATTCTTTAAAACTGTTCCATGTCATGAAACTCTTTTTTCTAGATTAGTAACACATTGAAGAGGTTGAAGGAATCTTGAGAA